AACTTCTTCACCATCTTTGGTTTTGAAACTTACCCTTTTGAGATGTTCTAGAAACTTACAGAGAAATAGAGAAACATTTATATGTTAATACATTTTGTCAGGAAGAGTTTATAAAATGTATAATCTCAGCTAAATTCTGTCGTTGTGTTTTCAAATCATATGGCTTAATTGTAAATCTGTTCTTAATGAGACTTTAAACTCACTGTGAAAGGATCAGGCTGCTTCTTTGTTGGACATGTTTGTGTGCAGCCAAGAAGGTCATGTAGAGTATGGGCAACAGCATATACTGCTTTATACACATTACTGAAAATGGGCATCAGTGACATGTCTGTAAATGTGTTTTCCACCTCAGACAGTTTCTCTTGACCTGTGCACACTGTTGTATTCTCAGAGTCATTCTGTATCGTATATTTACACTGAAACAGAGCCTCCCAAAATTTAGGAAAAATTACACTGCCAGCAGATTTCAGTGGGTGTATATCCAGAATGAAGTCCTCCAGACCTGTCACTGTTGTTTTGGGGATAGCCAGCCCTATGGCTCCCTGCAATATGCTGTGCTTATCCAGTGCAGCCAGTACTGGATCAAAAATCCATGCCTCAGTTCCCACCCACTGATATCCAGTTATGTTGTATTCAAAAAACACATCCAGCAAAATCTGCAATTCTGAGTCATTAAGAAATCCCACTATTACTTGAGAAGTAGAGCTTTTGATCTGCTGGATTATTCTCAGCACTTTTTCTTGTGAGTAAGTTCTAAAATATGTAAGTGAATACTCTAGACAAATGCCCAATTCTTCTGCAGCTTCAGTAAATGCAGCCATCCCACTGTTACCATAGTCATCATCTCTTCTGATTGCACCCACCCAGGTCCAACCAAAATGCTTGACCATTTCTGCCAGTGCTCTGCTCTGGTAGTAATCACTGGGAATAGTGCGCAGAAATTACGGGTATTTCCTTTTATTACTGAGACAGCTGCAGGTGGCATAGTGGCTGATCTAAAAACAGATTCAGTGTTCAGTTATGAACACTGTTAACTTTTACGCACTGTTAACACCACATAATATTAAAATTAGAATTTTAAGTTCTTACTAAGGGAATGCTGAAAGGTCCGATACTGCTTGCTATAGCCATGGATGCTGACGAGAATGTGTCGCCAATTATGGTTTGTACTTGGGCTGGTTTTGTGCAGGGCTCGTCCAAAACTGACTTCTCATTTCCATTCACAAGTGCCATGGCCATTCTAACTGCCATTGCTGTAGATGTGCAGGTGTCATATATCTTGTAGCCTAGCAAGACACCAGGCAGTAATGAGGAATTGTTGTTTATCTCCTCTGTTGCAAAAATCAAGGACTGAGAAAACTGGAAGGCTCTGAAATCAAGACTGTGCAATACAGATTTACAGATAAATGCACAAATTACTTTAGGATGAAATCATTATTGCTGTGTAAGCATGGCTCACATGGCTTATTTGGTCTTGCTGCTTACCTCCTGCATTTCAGTGGATGTGGCTTGACGACATAGGACAAGTCTGTGATCTCCCAGCTGGTGTGAAAGGTGAAAATCCCTCCAACTATTATATCACCATCCTTTGAAAGTTGTGGGTAGTCAGACTCTCCTTGCAGGCTACAGGTCTCATTAGCCCCAGAAAAACTGATGATGCCCATTAATACTTGCAGAAGAGTAAAAAGAGACTCCATTCGCCTGTTCAACATTTGAGTACACAGTGATGTGTGTGCCAGGTCTGATGTTTCACCTGGTTGGACAGGAAGGATCTTGTGTTATTTATACAGTTGGCCATGTAAGGCAGATCCTCAGTGATAAGATTACGTAAGTAGGCTGCAGTGAGGAGGTGTGACTTTCAAGTGTTAGTAGCATTAATCTTAAAGGAGGCCTCAAGGTCAAATAGTGCTTGCTTAGTATCTGTATTGTTGGTTTCCCTTTTTGTCTTCATGCAGTTGTTTTTTAAAACAATATGGTTGTGTGTTTTTTTTATATATCCTAGGGACATTTTTTGTGTGTAACTGTGATGTCATACCAGAATATAATAATCGTTGCGGTTATAGCTATAATAGGCACAAAACATATATATAATATACATAATATGTTTATATATTTTTACTATCTGAGCAAAACCTTTTCAGAACCTAACCGCTGCCCTTTACCTTGTGTCTAAATTACATAATAAAAAGACCAATAGAAATGGTTCAGAATTACTTTGACTAAGTTTAATTTTTTTTTTCTTCTTTTCCTCTAATGTTACCATGTTAGAGGTTCGATGTTTTGTCATGACAGTGACCACACGCATTGTTATATGCCTTTAAGAGATCTGTGTTATGACACTGTTTGCTCTATGTCCAACAATAGTTTACCGTTGTTAGAGTGCAGGGGAACATTCTGCTGCGTCACGGATGATGGACGTAAAGAGCAAGTGGGGAAAAATGCTAAGTTGAAGCTAACCAAACCCCCGTATCCCATTAGATTATTTGCTGCAACCATATAAAGGCCCACAAAACACGCCACTGCTGCGAGCCACAGCCAGCATCTGCGAGAAATGAAAAGAGGGCTGCCCAGTAAGTTATGCACAGCCTCTACAGCTTCAACCCCTTGCATAAAGGGGTTGTAGTAGTGTGGATGACACAGCTTGTGGTTGCCATGCACCATCAAGGGCATCCACTGGCATGCCTAGGGGTCACCATCTTCCTTCTTCAACCTTGGGTACTTTCTGGTAGAGGTCTACACTACTGCGGATTCCCACGGGACCGGCGGGACCCACCATTATATCTTGCGGCGCGGGACTAATTTTCAGCCTTACGGGCTGGAAATCAGACCCTTTCAGGCAGGAGTAGGCGGGACCACGCATGAAGAGAAATCCCGTAAATTAATGAATAGCCTAAATTAAGTAGAACTATCACTAAATCATACATGTAAACAATATAACAGTAAAACAATTAAAATGAATAAAGTCTTTCTCGAGCAACCGATCACGTGAACAACACGCAAATTCTCATAGGCCTGATTCACACGTATTGCTTCTGCGTGGTGTGAGCGACGCGGAAAGTCTTGCTTTTCATTTTAGCGCTCATGTTAAGTGATGAGTGCTTTCAAACAGGCTGAGCATGTGCAGTGGCAGAGTCCCAGACCTTATTTCGAGAATAGACCCGGGGCAGATTAGCCTGCTCACACTGTGCAAGATTACTTTTTGCATTGCTTACCAGTGTAGCAGTTTCCATACTTGAGTCATATGTAAATGGACAGCATTGGTGAAAAAAAGCAATGAATAAATGACCAACCGATCGATCTGAGACTTTAGTTTTGGTTCCTGCCAGTTAATGTTGTGCATTGTGTATCAGGTGTCTTGGTATCAGCCGCTTGGCCTAGCCATGGCTCTCAATTCTTTCATTTGTTCATTCTTTCTCTTTCTCTTTCCTTTCATTATCCTTTAATGTCTTTGGTCCTAGATTCAGTGAACACAGCGGCACCTATCCATGCACGTTCAGCTGCTTGAAACTGCTTAGATACCACTGTAGTCGCTGCCAAATTGGATCTCCTTGACAGTCACTTCAGGCTTCCAATCCTCTGTTGAGTCTGCTCTAGTAATTTCTGCTGGTTCTTACTATTCACACATTGACCCATCACGTCTGGTGTAACTGCTCTGGACCTTCTGGTTCCTAGAGCCTTACCTCCCTTTGCTTTGTCCACCACTCTCCCACCTAGTAATTCCACTTGCCCCCAGTTTTCCATCTCATAAACTTCTGAGGCCTGCTCTGCTGCAGTTATATATCTTATATATCATAATCTAAATTTACCACAGCTCATAAGAGCATCATAACATAGACCTGAGAGGTTGTTTTTTTCCCTATGACTTGTGTATGTGTATGCCACAGAATCTCCACCCACAGCAGTAGTTCTTGGGAGAAGGAGGAAGTTCTATTTGTCTGTTTTGTTCTGTCTGGTTAGGTTAGATTCTCCTGTGCATGTGGTTCCTTAGGGTGCCCCCCTTCTCTTGTCTGCCTCTAATCCTGTTCCACCCAGATCACCCTCCTGTTTTTAATTTTTTAGCACTTCAGTGCTTTGTTTTATACATGAGGACCCCTCTCCTGCTTCACTCACCTATGCCTGCACAAATAATAATGGTCATGCCATAATGTGTCACTTATTTTAAGATCCAGCCAAAAAGAGTTTACTAGCTAAATTTATGCTCTGTTCTTGTCACAGAACCTCTACTGCTCTACGTTTACTCCAAAATCCTCTGTTTCATCCGTCCTTGTTATTGTCTAATTGCTTTATTTGTGACATTTATTTCTGTATTTTTTTTTGTGTGTGTTTTAAATTTTTGCGTAACAAATGAATATACACATAAGCATCAACACAAGTAAGTCTTGACTTTAATCTTTCTTTAAGATTATGCAAAACATACATTCAATTAGAAAAGTTCAAACTGTAGCCCATCTTTTGCTATGCACAATTTGTCAGCCACCCTCTACGCAGCCCATCAGTGGAAAGGGACTTCTATAGGACCACTGACAAGATATTGTTTGGGAGAGGACCATTCTCAGTATAGCAACACTACATCATATTCCATGCTAGTGGATATTACACTGGTACAAGTTACATGTAGCAGTGTAAATGTAATTTTTTATACACCTCAGTTCCACTGTTGAGAAAAAGTCTGTCATAGTAGGTTATAAAAACAATTTTTATATAAGTAATATAATGAGGACCTATTTCAAATAGTTAGATATACATTTATAATAATAGTATATTTTATGATACTTGATCTAAGTGGATCTAAGTGGGTAAAGTAGTGCAATTTAGCAGTGAACACAGTGTTGATCTATTTACACAAACTTTAAAGAGAGCAATACAGAAATAAAAATTGATTGAGTAATTCAGTTTTTATGGTAATTTGCCATTTTTTCAGTTTTAGTAGCTACATACTGTTTGGAAGATAGAAAAAAATGTTTTGAGATTGTTTTGAAAATTTATAGCTGAAATAGCAACTATGTAGACTTAACTTTTTCCATCATTTGCTTTTTAGTGTTCTTTTCTGGTTTCAATACTATTGTGTAACACTTTGGAAGAAAGATACAGAATAACAAACCAAAGCTTGAGGCCAAAATGGCAAATATCTCCACAGCAACAGTGAACTTTCCAGGAGAGGTGATGTAAGCTGGAATGAAGGTGATCCAAACAGCGCAGAATATGAGCATGCTGAATGTGATGAACTTGGCTTCATTAAACTTGTCAGGCAGTTTCCGAGCCAGAAAAGCTAAAACGAAACACAAAAGGGCCAACAGTCCTATATAACCCAGCACAGCCCAGAATCCTATAGCTGAACCTAAATGACATTCTAGAATGATCTTTTCTTTGTAACGCTTAAAATTTTTGAAGGGAAAAGGAGGGGATGTTGTTAACCAAATAACACAGATAAGGATCTGTATTAGAGTAAAGGCAAGAACACTGAGTCTCTGCTGTGGAGGCCCAAACCATTTCATGACGTTACTGCCTGGAAGTGTAGCTCTGAAGGCCATTAACACCACTATTGTTTTCCCCAGAACACAGGAGATGCAGAGGACGAAGGTGATCCCAAACGCTGTGTGACGCAACATACAGGACCACTCAGAGGGCTGACCAATGAAAGTAAGTGAACAGAGGAAACACAGAGCCAGTGAGAAAAGTAAAAGGAAGCTGAGCTCTGAGTTGTTGGCTTTGACTATTGGAGTATATTTACATCTAAAAAATAAGATTGCTATTGTTATTGTCATAAATGTACCAATAATTGATACAACTGTTAGCAAAATTCCCATAGTTTCCTCATAGGACAGGTATTCAATTTCCTTCTTTACACATGTGTCCCTGCGTGGATTAGACCAGTAGTCTTGATAACATTGTTCACATTTAATTGCATCTGTCAGAGAGTGAAAGAAAACAAAAATTAAAGATAAAAAAAGCAAGATTATACAGATGCAGCATTTAAAGATTCTTTTAAGCATTTTTAAGCTTCTTAAGACATTTGGACTTGATTGGAATAATCAGTAATGCAGACAGTATTTCATGTTTGAATCCTCTTTCTCAAAAATATACCTGTCATATTACTGATCTGTCCTTCAGCACATGGTATACAGTCAAAACAGCAGATAGGTTTTCCTTTCTGCACAGCCTTCCTGGTGCCTGGAGGGCAGCTCTCACTGCACACAAATACTGGTACCTATGATTGAAGAAAATATTCACTTGGCTAAAAATGTTTGTAGAACGCTTTTATTTAGACCAAGATGCAACTTTCTTCTTCGTACTCACCTTATTGCTGTTTTGTGCCCACACAATAGAGGCCATGTTTACTGCTAATCGATTATGAGCGGGGAAAGAAGAGTCATACAATCCAACAGTGACAAATTTGTGTTGATGCTCTTCGTCTGTCTGCCAGTTTATTATGTCATACTTTGCAGGAGGATCACCATTTTTATCAAAATAAACTTCTTCACCATCTTTGGTTTTGAAACTTACCCTTTTGAGATGTTCTAGAAACTTACAGAGAAATTGAGAAACATTTATATGCCAATACATTTTGTCAGGAAGTGTTTATAGAATGTAGAAATGAAGAGCTTTTTTCTGGTTATTCAAATTAATGCTGTATCTGTGTATCCAACATTGTGTGGCCTAATTGCAAATCTGTGCTTAATGAGACTTTGAACTCACTGTGAAAGAATCAGGCTGCTTCTTTGTTGGACATGTTTGTGTGCAGCCAAGAAGGTCATGTAGAGTATGGGCAACAGCATATACTGCTTTATACACATTACTGAAAATGGGCATCAGTGACATGTCTGTAAATGTGTTTTCCACCTCAGACAGTTTCTCTTCACCTGTGCACACTGTTGTATTCTCAGAGTCATTCTGCAGTGTATATTTACACTGAAACAGAGCCTCCCAGAATTTAGGAAAAATTACACTGCCAGCAGATTTCAGTGGGTGTATATCCAGAATGAAGTCCTCCAGACCTGTCACTGTTGTTTTGGGGATAGCTAGCCCTATGGCTCCCTGCAATATGTTGTGCTTATCCAGTGCAGCCAGTAGTGGATCAAAGATCCATGCCTCAGTTCCCACCCACTGATATCCAGTTATGTTGTGTTCAAAAAACACATCCAGCAAAATCTGCAATTCTAAGTCAGTAAGAAATCCCACTATTACTTGAGAAGTAGAGCTTTTGATCTGCTGGATTATTCTCAGCACTTTTTCTTGTGAGTAAGTTCTAAAATATGTAAGTGAATATTCTAGACATATGCCCAGCTGTTCTGCAGCTTCAGTAAATGCAGCCATACCGCTGTGACCATAGTCATCATCGTTTCTTATTGTTCCCACCCAGGTCCAACCAAAATGCTTGACCATCTCTGCAAGTGCTCTGCTCTGGTAGTAATCACTGGGAATAGTGCGCAGAAATGACGGGTATTTCCTTTTATTACTGAGACAGCTGCAGGTGGCATAGTGACTGATCTAAAAACAGATTCAGTGTTCCGTTATGATTTTTTTATGCACTGTTAACTTGGATAACACCACATAATATTAAAATTAAATTATAAAATTTATTTAGATATATGCCATTGTTCTGATTTTAAACATAGTTATGGTATTGATTAATTAAAAATTTTAGTTCTTACTAAGGGAATGCTGAAAGGTCCAATACTGCTTGCTATAGCTACGGACGGTGACGAGAATGTGTCGCCAATTATGGTTTGCACCTCGGCTGGTTTTGTGCAGTGCTCATCAAAAACTGTCTTTTCATTTCCATTAAGAAGTGCCATGGCCATTCTAACTGCCATTCCTGTAGAACTACAGGTGTCATATATCTTGTAGCCTAGCAAGACACCTGGCAGTAAAGAAGAACTGTTGTTTATCTCCTCTGTTGCAAAAATCAAGGACTGAGAAAACTGGAAGGCTCTGAAATCAAGACTGCACAAAACAAATTTAGAGACAAAGGCAGACATTATTTTAGGATGAAATCATTACTGCTGTAAAACGTGACTCACATGGCTTATTTTGTCTTGCTTCTTACCTCCTGCATTTCAGTGGATGTGGCTTGGCCACATAGGACAAGTCTGTGATCTCCCAATTGTTGTGAAAGGGGAAAATTCCTCCAACTATTATATCACCATCCTTTGAAAGTTGTGGATATTCTATCTCTCCTTGCAGGCTACAGGTCTCATTAGCCCCAGAAAAACTGATGATAGCCATTAGTACTTGCAGAAGAGTAAAAAGAGACTCCATTCGCCTGTTCAACAATTGAGTACAGAGAATGATTGTGTGTGCCAGGTCTGATGTTTCACCTGGTTGGACAGGAAGGATTTGTGTTATTTATACAGATGGCAAAATAAGGCAGATCCTCTGTGATAAAATTACGTAGGTGGGCTGCAGTGAGGAGGTGTGACATTCAAGTGTTAGTAGCATTAATCTTAAAGGAGGCCTCAAGGTCAAATAGTGCTTGCTTAGTATCTGTATTGTGGTTTCCCTTTTTGTCTTCATGCAGTTGTTGTTTTTAAAAACAATATGGTTGTGTGTTTTTCTATATATCCTAGGGTCATTTTTGTATGTAACTGTGATGTCATACCATAATATAGTAATCATTGTGGTTATACCTATAATAGGTACAGACATTGTGTCTAATTTTCATAATAAAAAAGACCAATAGAAATGATTAGAATTACTTTGACTAACTTTATCGTGTAATGTTACCATGTTAGTGGTAACTGCTGCCCTTTACCTTGGGTCTAAATTTCGTTATAAAAAGACCAATAGAAATGAGCTCTCACACTACAGCATCTCGACAGTCTGGGACCCTACTCTAGAGTTCTGTTTGTGGACTTCAGCTCTGCTTTCAGCTCTATACAAATGGTAATTTTTACAAATGTTCATATCACCCTTTAATATGTTCTGTATCGTAGTTATTATATGTCTTTTCAGACTGGCATTTGTATAAACATTCATATCTGCATATGTACAGATATTCACACGTCCGTTTAGCTTTTTTGCACATTGACTCTTTATTATTTTGTTTCTTATTCTTTATTCTATTTATTGTACTTTTAGTTTGTTTGTCCCTTAGTTAAACATTTGTTAATAGTCTGTGTGCTTGTCTGGTCTGTTCTTATGTATGTTACATGTCATACATGTGTGCAGTCACCAAGACAAATTCTTTGTATATGAAGCATATTTGACAAAGTTATTTTGATTCTTATAAAAGAATTAGTGCACAAAGAAGGCATATGGTGATTCCGGAGGCCTTGAAGGGAAATGTCCTATGACAGAAACATGATGGACATCAGGGCTTGACTGATTTTAGGGAGCACATTTTTGTGGTGGCCTGACATCGGAAATCAAATGGAAAGTTTAGTCTTGTTAGATATGCCTAAAGACAAAATGCATCAAACGAAGGCACTCACTGCAACTCCTCTACCAGGTAAACCATGGAAAATCCTTACTATTACCTTTGTGATCACAGCAGAAGTACTTACCATGTTTTGCATTGTTATTGTTTCTCCGGATTATTCAAGATACTTAAAATACTGAGAACATTGCCTCACAGGTTGTCCAAAACCTAGAAGCAGAAGCACTACTACTAGTTCAAGTAGTACCTTCAAGCCAAATGACCAAATGTGAATGAACTCAGAGGATGCAGTGAAATTGCAGAAATAAGCCTTGTACTTTCATTGGTATCAGCTGCTTGGCCTAGCCATGGCTCTCATTTCTTTAGTTTGTTCTTTGTTTCTTGTTCTCTCTCCTTTTTGTTTCCTTTTATTATTTATAATTTTAATTTCTTTGGCCCTGGATTCAATAAACACAGTGACATCTATGCATGCATGTTCAACTGTTTTAAATTTGCTTAGGTACTACCATAGTGGACTTGCAAGTCTCTGCCAAATTGTATCTTCTTGACATTCACTGAAGGCCTCCAGTCCTCTGTTGAGTCTGTTCTTTTCTGCTGGTCCTTACTATGCACACATTAACCTATCAATCTTGGTAGAATTGTTCTGGACCTCCTGGTTCCTAGAGACTTACCTCCCATTGCTTTGTCCACCACCCTCCCACCTAGTCTTTCCACTCACCCCTGGTTTTCCCTCTCATAACCTGGGGCCTGCTCTGCTGCAATTATATATCTTATTTATCATAATACAGCAGCATCATCACATAGACCTGAGAGGTCAGTTTTTTGCCTCATAACCTAGTGTATGTCAACGAATCTCTACCCACGACTATAGCTCTTGGGAGAGGGAAGAAGTTCTGTTATATCTCAGAAAAATGGCACCATGAAGTGTCAGAACCTCTACTCCTCCCTGGTCTACTTTCACTCCAATATCTTCTCTGTTTTATTCTTGTTATTGTCCAAATCTGTGCTTTATTTGTTTCTGTATTTTTTTTTGTGTGTGTTTAAAATATTTGCATAATAAATGAATTCACACGAGCATCAATATGAACTTCATTCTTAATATTGGTCTAAAATTTAAAGAATTTAAAATAAGCTTTATCTTTAACCTGCCTTTATGATTATGCAAAACATACATACAGTTAGAAAAGTCCTATTACTATGCATAATTTGTCAGCCACCCTCTGCCTTGTCCATCAGTGGAAAAGAACCACTATAGGACCACTAGTGGGTATTGTGCTGGTGTGAGGTTGTTACACGCAGCAGTGTAAATGTAATTTTTTTATACACCTCAGTGTCACTGTTAAGTAGAGAATAAGAAGAGAATAGTCATACTACGTAATAAAAGCAAATTCTGTCTTTATGTAATATAGTAAGGTCCTATTTCAAATAGTTAAATGCACATTTATTAAAACAATAGTATATTTTATGATAGTGGGTCATTGTTAAATGATAAGATTTTCTTTTTTTGTTAAAGAAATACGTGGATCTAAGTGGGGAAAAGTAGTGCATTTAGTACTGAACACAACACAAGGTTGATCTATTTACACAAACTTTAATGACAACTATTTCACAGAAAAAAAAAAAAAACTGAATTTGAGTAATTCGTTTTTTTGGTACTTTGCCAGTTTTTTCCTAGTTTCAGTGGCTACATAATGGTTGATAGGAAAAATGAAAAAAAAAAAAAAGTTTTGAAGATTTACAGCTGTAATAGAATCTACATAAACCTCTAGTTTACTTAACTGGAACTTTTCCCATCATTTGCTTTTTAGTGTTTTTTTCTGGTTTCAGTACTATTATGTAACACTTTGGAAGAAAGATGCAGAATAACAAACCAAAGCTTGAGGCCAAAATGGCAAATATCTCCACAGCTACAGTGAACTTTCCAGGAGAGCTGACATAAGCTGGGATAAAGGTGATCCAAACTGCACAGAATATGAGCATGCTGAATGTGATGAACTTGGCTTCATTAAAGTTATCAGGCAGCTTCCGTGCTAGAAAAGCCAAAATAAAACACAGTAGAGCCAGAAATCCTATATAACCCAGCACAGCCCAGAAACCTATAGCTGAACCTAAATGACATTCTAGAATGATCTTTTCTTTGTAACGCTTTATATTTTTGAAGGGAAAGGGAGGAGATGTTGATAACCAAAACACACAAATAAGGACCTGTATGAGAGTGAAGGTGAGAACACTGAGTCTCTGCTGTGGAGGCCCAAACCATTTCATAACATTACTGCCTGGAAGTGTAGCTCTGAAGGCCATTAACACCACTATTGTTTTCCCCAGAACACAGGAGATGCAGAGGACGAAGGTGATCCCAAACGCTGTGTGACGCAGCACACAGGACCACTCAGAGGGCTGACCAACAAAAGTAAGTGAACAGAGAAAACACAGAGCCAGAGAGAAGAGCAGAAGAAAACTCAGCTCTGAATTATTGGCTTTAACTATTGGGGTATTTTTATATCTAAAGAAGATGATTAATATTGTTAATGTCATAATGGCACCAATAATAGAGACAATTGTCATCAAAATTCCCATCGTTTCTTCATAGGAGAGGAATTCAATTTCCTTCTTTACACATTCGTCCTTGCGTGGATTTGACCAAAAATCTTCCTTACATTGTTTGCATTTAATTGAATCTGTCAGAGAGTGAAAGAGAAAAGAGAAGACAAAAATGTTATGTAGAGACAAAATAAGATAATACAGTTGCAACATTTAGTGAAATTACTGTCAGTTACAAAATTCACTTTGTCTTAAAACATTTGTAGTTTAAACCATTTTTATGTAATTCTCCCAAAATTTGATTTAATAGTAGTAATACAGACAGTATTTTATGTTTTATTCCCCTTTCTCATGTATGTACCTGTCATATTACTGATCTCTCCTTCAGCACATGGTATACAGTCAAAACAGCAGATAGGCTTCCCTTTCTGCACAGCCTTCCTGGTGCCTGGAGGGCAGCTCTCACTGTACACAGATATTGGCACCTGTGATAAAGGAAAATATTCAGTGGCCTAAAAATGTTTATGTAGTTTGCTTTTATTTAGACCAAGATGCAACTTTCTCTGTTATACTCACCTGGCTGCTATTTTGTGCCCACACAATAGAGGCCATGTTTATCGCTAATCGATTGTGAGCAGAAAAAGAGGAGTCATAAAACCCAACAGTGACAAATTTGTGTTCTTTAGTTGTCTGCCAGTTTATTATCTCATATTTTGCAGCAGGATCACCATTTTTGTCAAAGAAAACTTCTTCACCCTCTTTGGTTTTGAAACGCACTCTTTTGAGATGTTCTAGAAACTAAAAAAGAACAAAGTCAATATTTTAATAAATGTTATGTCTTTTAAAACATATTTTTAAAAATATTATGTCTTTTAAAACACCAAACACCTCCATAAAAGAATAGCATTTTCACTGGTTATTTAAATAAATGTTATATGGCTGAGTACAGATCTGTGATTAATGAGACTTTAATCTTACCTTAAAAGGATCAGGCTGCTTAAACGTAGAACATTTTTTTGTGCAGTTCAGAAGGTCGTGTAGAGTATGGGCAACAGCATATACTCCTTTATACACATTACTGAAAATTGGCATCAAGGACATGTCTGTAAATGTATTTTGTACTTCAGACACGTTTTCTTTGCCTGTGCACATTGTTATGTCTTTTGTGTCGTTGTGCTTGTTATATTTACATTTAAACAGAGCTTCCCAGAACTGAGTAAAAATGGCACTGCCTGCGAATTTCAGTGGATGTATATCCAGAATGAAGTCTTTTAAACCTGTCACTGTTGTTTTGGGGATAGCCAGCCCTATGGCTCCTTGCAGTATATTGTGCTTATCTCGT